GAAAGAGGTGTCCAGTATGACTGAGAGAAACCTGATGAGGGTGTAAGTTAGGATGGTAGAATAGGAAGGAGAAACTGGACATGTGAGATACCTGACAGTTCTCATCAATTGATTGAGAAGAATAATAAAAATGAAAACATAATAAAAACAAGGGATAAAAGACATCTAAGAAAGAAGGAATATTTCACAGATGCAAAGGTCAGAAAGAGATTGAGTAGCCTTAGGGTGAGTACCAACAAAGACCATTATGAGTCTTAGAAAGGCAATTTTGGGTATTGAGCAGGTTGCAAGGTTGAAATGAGAGACGGGAGATGAGGACAGGTCTCACTGACTGAGGCAGGGGTAGGCAACAAGAACCAGATGTCTTTGTCCCTTGGCAGAAGTTGGGGATGAAGACAGAGTAGTGTTAGGAGGAGGAAACCCATATCACCTACCTGGATGACCATGGGTAGCAGCTTCCCACTGGGTTCCATCTTCAGCATGACAAGGGGGGCAGCCAGGTACTGCTTCTCTCCTTGGACCACATTGGCTGGAATTCCATCCAGTAGGATGAAGTCAGCCTCAAACAGGGAACCGTTCTGAGGAACAGAGGACCATACCCATGGTTAGTTGAAAGCATTGCTCCACAGGGTCAAGGCAAATGAGAAGAAACATAAAGACTTTCACTCTCTTTTCTTGCCATTATCTTACATCACTACCAGAGTCCCAGTGGAGAAGTGAAGGAAGCACTAGAGCATCAAGTTCAAGTTCTCTCATTTTACAGGGAGGGCTAAGACCCCATGAAAGGAATCTTCCCTAGAGACACGTGGCTTGTCTATGTCAGAGGTAGTTTCAGAACTAGGTACTGTATGCCTGTTGATTCTGTACCACAGGTATGCCAAACTCTTCCCTTGTTAAGTTGCCCAAGTTCCTTTCCCTAATATCTCCTAATGGTCTACTTTATTGGCTGTATCAAGCCTGATGCTTTCCCCTACATACTAGTACTTTATCTCCTATAGGATTTCTAGCAGAGGACTCTGTATCCAAAGACAGTGGCTCATCACAGCCTCCCTTCCCTGACTCACCTTTGGTCCCTCCCCTTCACCACTTGAATTCCCCACACAGACAAGAAGAAGACAATAAAGTGGTTCTCAACCTTCCTAATGCCATGACCCTTTAATATAGTTCCTCATGTTGTGGTGACCCCAACCATAAAATTATTTTCGTTGCTACTTCATAACTGTAATTTTGCTACTGTTATGAATCATAATGTAAATATCTGATATGCAGGATGTATTGAGGCGACCCTTGTTAAAGGGTTGTCTGACCCCCAAAGGGGTCGCGACCCACAGGTTGAGAACCACTGGGCTAGAGGCTGTACCTGGAGTTCTTTCTCCAACTGGGCCTGAAGGTCCTCCATCCCTGAGGGCATTACCAGTCGGGAGGGCAGAGAGGTGGAGCGTCTCAATAGCATGGGGTTGGCCCCATTGAGGAACTGGTAGCCAAAAAGCTCATCATCCTGCCAGCACTTTTGAACCTTCTCTGTGGGGTTGGTATAGAGGTTAGGAGGAGGATATTCACCACAACCCAATTTCCCTCTTCCCCAGACTCTAACTCAGGGATTTAGTAACATGGCTCCTCCATACCCAGTCCACATATTTTCATACCTGAGACATCTGTCAGATCCCCATGTATAAGTTCTTTTTTGGCAAGCAATTTTGGGGACTATGGAGTGTGACAGCTCAGTATAAGGGCCATCAAGGTGTTATGGAGACCTGGGGAAACCACTGACCAGCCAGGGCAGTCTTTTGTCCCCAGAATAATTCATCAAAATCTTCTAGGCTGTTCCAGGATCTCGGGAGGGCATAAACGTATTTGAGGGCAATCTCCATAATCCTAGAACAGACATTAAGAACGAAACCATCAATTTACCAAATCTTTCCTGTTTCTGGATCCACCAGCCCCACTTTACTCTGACTATTTCCTCACCCTGCAATCACTGTCCATTCATAGTCCAGCTTCTTCTTCTCGTGGAATCTCATATTTACAGGTAGATCATCCTTACTGCCTGCAGCTATTGTCAGGGGTAACCCTTCTTTCCAGGTGGCCCAGCTAGCAGATGGGGACAAAGGTAGATGGAGGGGATAGAAATCAGTGATGGAGGAAGTTGTCAGGGGAGGGGTTACAATTGGGAGGCTTCTAGTAGGGCAGTCACCAGTAGATTTGCTGTCTTTCCTCCAGTTCCTGTTCTCGATGCTTCTGGAACACATCCCAGGTATTGTTTCCTGCCAGACGGGCTGGGGAGACATTAAGGCAAATGTGTTCTCCAATTTCATGCTATGCCCTGGCTTCTTCCAATCTCCTATTTATTAGTTGCATGGCATCATACTATTTTGCCGTTTTTTTCTGGCTCTGTCTCCCTACTTAATTTACTAAACATTCATCTTCACCCACTCCCCTTTCTTCATTTCACCAATCTCCAATCTCATATTTGTCCTGAGAGGAAAATCATTTTTGACACCCTAACATAACACCTCACTCTAATCTATTATCTATCTATCTATCTATCTATCTATCTTCTTCATTATCTATGAATTTCATTCTTAATCAGCTGAAATGTCAACATCTATCCTATATTATCCAAAATTCCTTTGTTAATTTCCCCTGTTCTGGTCCTTCCCTGTCCACACCTTAAGCTGTTCTTCAAAAATGACATATTTAAGTGAAGAACACTTACATCCTCTGACCTCAGGCTACTTCCACTGTCACCTGTTCCCTGGCATAAGGTATTCTATGTGCGCCAAACCAAGTAATGGATCCATGTTGCTACATTTACCTGGCTTCATCTCACCTGTCCTCAACTCCACATAGTTTATAGTTGGTAACCTGGCTTAACCCTGCCCTCATCGGTACTTACACTTACTTGTGCCTCAAAGACATTTAGTTCAGGCTTCCAGTCTTACCTGTCATGTCCCTCAATTGTCTCTTGTACTTATTTCCTAAGGTAACAGATTCTGTTTGCTGTCCTGATTCACCCTCACCTGGTCAGTGTGCTCCCTGCCCTCACAGTTGTCTTCCATGTTTTCACAGCCAAACCAGCTCTTCATGTCATATTGCTTGTTGCTCCCCTTCCCTGTCTCCTCTTGGGAATCACATGTGCTAGCCTCACCTGTCCCTGCCCTACCATGTTCACAGTCAGGGAGAGGTCTCCTTGCCCCTTTACTTTGGCTCTTCTGTTTCCCAGCATGGCTGCACCTCCCATTCTCTGTGCTCGCCTTTTTGAGAGGTGGGATCTACACATCACTCATTTCCTTGTCCAGTCCCATTTCCATCCTTTTCATTCTATGTATACCGTCCCCCTCCATTCCTGTCTTGTCCATCTTTAACCTGCTGAGCATGTAACTTTTCAACCCCTCTAGGAACTTCCTCAGTGCTATCCCCTGCTTCCCCACCTCCAGTACTCCTTACTTCCTGCACCCACTTCCCTGAGGCGGCCCCTCACCGGTGCCCTCAGGCAGGGTCAGCACGCCCTCGCCCTGCACCCAGCGGTAGCAGGGGAAGGCGGCCTCCTGGCAGGGTTCAGGGCCCCGGACTGTGATGAGGTCGCAGAACCAGGCATCGTCCACCAGGGAGTGGTGTTTGTGCAACTTCACAAACTGCAGTGGCCCCAAGTCCTGGGGAATGTCCTGTTCGAACTCCTCCACCTGTGGGGACAGAACCCTGGTGAGACTTAGTAGCGGGGACCCGGGAGAGGACGTTTCACTGAGGGTTCGAGGTCCTCTGTGGAGTTTGGTAACAAGGCCTCCAGGGACAGCATTGTCTCCTCCCAACACCTGCGCGGTGGGTCTCAGGCGCCCCATTGCACCAGGAGGATGAAGGACGCGGGCACGGGCTGTGGTGTCTTGAACACTGAGCATCGTCACCTACACCCATGCACTAAATGAGCTCGAACTGCGCCCATGCCTGCGCTCTCAAAGGACCCTCCCCCTTTGAACACAGATCCCCTATTGACACTGGGCTGGGGTCACTTGAGAAAGGAGTTGAGAGCAGATTGACTTGGGTTCATGGGATAAAGTGAATCAGACTCTCGTGTGCCATGGCTACCATCCTCTCATCCATCCCATCTAAGGTTTCCCTTTTCCACGAAACTCCCACCCTCTTGGGATGCCCCTCACTGGCTATTAGCCTTCCTGG